TAGAAAATTTCGGTATCACACTGTGTGTTATTTGTCAATGCTCAAATGATGATTTCCGAGTATATATTTAGAGAGTGATAAGTTTGGTAGTTACTACTTTTCTTTTTACCGGAAAGAATTGTCTCACTTATTTGCTGTCCAATGTGCGCTGTCAGGTATGACGTGCATGTCTATGCCTATATATGGCATGACAATGGGACACAGCTGAGTGTGTGATTAGACAGGAAGCGGTATAGTCTTTTGACCGTGTTCTTTTAGTTCTATTTTGATACGGAGAACTTTTAGTTACTTTGAAGCGAGGACGTTTGTCTTCATGTTTGTATGCCGCCTTGATCAAAGAATAAATCTGATGTGATTCAACGCTACAACGATCGTGCGTCATAAAGTGGATATTAAATGTAGAAACGGATTAAAACGCCACGACAAACTTAGATATGTGTGTTTAAAATGTCCAAAGAATAGGGATATATTAACCCTCTTTACAATCTCCTCACTGTAGATGTGTCGCTGTGTTTTGATGTTTCTCTGATCCCCCCCCCCCCTGCAGGCCGTACAGGAACGTGACGGAGTTCGACGGGCAGGATGCGTGCGGCTCCAACAGCTGGGCGATCGCAGACGTGGACCCTCCGGCCCGCTCCACGGACGGGAAGAAGGCGGACGACCCGGGTCACCTGATCCGCCCGCTGAAGCCCTGGACCCAGTACGCCATCATGGTGAAGACCCAGCTGTCCGCCTCCGACGAGCACGAGGTGCAGGGAGCCAAGAGCAAGATCATCTACGTCCGCACCAACGCCACCAGTGAGTTAAACTACCACACACACACACACACACACACACACACACACACACACACACACACACACACACACACACACACACACACACACACGTCAAGAAGTCTAAGTGCTCTTTTATTATAAATATGAAATTGCTTGTAAAAATGTTATATGGCTAAAATCCATGACTATTTGTTGCAAGTAATCTTGAAACCAATAGTGATTCAAATAATGATCATTATGGTTTTGACAATAAATGTGAAGCTCTACTTTTACTCCAGATGTTTGATTGGCCCATGTTGTATGACTTGCTGCATTTTAAAACACTTATTGCTTTATCACACATATTACATTTAATTTCGCTGTTGTTGTTATCAAAATAGACAATAAGTAGTATTGAAGTCAGTGTAAATGTGGCCTAAAGTCATATACCAACAATGTCGTCCTGTTGCCCCCCCCCTCAGGGCCCTCTGTTCCTCTGGACCCCATCTCCTCCTCCAACTCCTCCTCTCAGATCATTCTGAGGTGGAAGCCCCCCACCAGCCCCAACGGGAACATCACCCACTACCGGGTCATCTGCCGCAAGCAGAGCGAGGACCGAGACCTGTACAAGTTCGACTACTGCCTGCAAGGTCAGAGTCCACAGACTGAGCCTCAAATCTGCTCCTAACTTCCATACATAAAAAATATACATTTGGAGTGTAATGTTGTGTTTTAACTTCCGGTAGATTAGTTTCTTGGACCCTTAAAATAGTCAGCTGTTGCTAACTAGTATCCTGTATGTTACTCAAATCTAGTTACCTAGTTACTGATTGGTCAGCTTGTAATTTGTCTTTATAGTACCTGATTTAATATAGTTCTACATATTTTTTCTTTTGTGCTCAAACTTTGGTTTAGAGAGCTCAACATCCCCAGTCTATTTGAACAGATTCCACATTACGTTTTTTAGACATTCGTGCCTTTTACCCAAAAATCACCAATCCATCCATCTGAAAAAATGTATTTATTTTTTCTCACCTTTAACCAAAGAGGCTGTTGTACATTTTCCAAATAAAGATCTCAGGCATAAATCAGAAGAAGTATTCGAGCAGTGTTTCAAGAGCTCAGATTGTGATATTTTTCATAAACAAGTTTTTGATGATTGTCCACATTTCTTCCTCTGGTTTCCCCTCACCTGTGTTTTTATGTCTGCACAGGGATGAAGCTGCCGTCCCGGACCCCCACCCACCTGGACAGCGAGGACGAGCAGAAGTGGAACCACACGGACGAACCCAGCTCGGGGGGGCGGTGCTGCGCCTGCCCCAAGACTGACAACCAGCTGAAGAAGGAGCAGGAGGAGATCGAGTACCGCAAGACCTTCGAGAACTACCTGCACAACGAAGTGTTCGACAGCAGGTACACAGCGCGGTATGATTACCTACAAACTTGTTTTCGGGGGCTCAGGGGGAGGTGCTGTACTCTGGGCCGCGGTGCCCCTACCCTTTCCCCTCACATAAACACACACACAGACAAACAGTCTCTCCCTCCGCTTCCCTTGGGGAGTATTTACTGGGCCCATTATCATTCATGCCAGTCAGAGGTGCTGTCATGCACACTGCCATTTGGACTCTCTCTCTCACACACACACACACACACACACACACACACACACACACACACACACACACACACACACACACACACACACACACACACACACACACACACATACACATACACATACACACACATACACACACATACACACACACACACACA